CTTCGCTGTACTGGAGCTTCTCTTTGACCAGAGCCAGAATCTCTCCAACCCGGCAGGACAGACGGCTCCTGATGGTGACGTAGGAATGATCCGGAGTGTACACCCTGCAGAAGACTGAACACACACACACACACGATGATGTCAGTGAGTCCTCTGAGAGCGCAGCATCAAAGATGGCTGCAGTCACGTGACATCATGGCTTGTCGTTACTATAGTAACTGCCACTCAAAATGTGGTTACTCATACATGTGTTTCCAAGCACGTCTGTCGACGCTCTGAACACAGTTAGAACTATAAGAACAAACTAAGCAGAGAAACTGAACAGAGGTCACCCTGACTCCCGGCTGTACATTGCTCCGTCATTCTGTGGCGTCCAGCTGCATGTAGGAGCTCCATGGCTGCATCCAGCAGCTTTCTCTCCTCTCTGAACATTTTAAGCATCTCTCTCAGTCCTGATCAGCTGATCAGCTTAGTCTGTTTTCCATGACACAGGTCTCACATGAAAAACTGGTGTAAAGTAAAAAGTAAACACGTTACGGGACCAAAGCGCTCAATGGCAGCACGCGGTCGAGGCATTTCTTAGTCTTAAATAAGCTGTAATAGAGAGATTAAACACGTCTTCCTCGGTTATAATAGACTGAGATTAGGAAACAGGACCTACAGAAAAGCACAAAAGCTCGCTCGGCCTTCAAATGCTTCTGGTCGTCTGTGTTTTGATGAAACAAAAATTGAATTGTTTGGTCACTATGATGTTTCCTTCATTCGGCGTGAAAAAGTAGAAGCCTTCAACCCGAAGAGCGCCGCCCCCGCTGTCTAACACGGTGGTGGGAACCTAATGCTGGGGCTGTTTTTCAGCCAATGGACCAGGGAACCAATCACAGTGAACGGCACCATGAAAAACAGATCCATGAAGATTCAATGACACCAGGCAGTCTGCAGAGGAACGTGGCCTTGGACACAACAATGACCCAAAACACAGCAAACGTGCTGAATAAACGTTAGCAGACAACACTAACGTGTTGCAGCGGCTCAGCCAGAGTCCTGAATCCAACTGAGAATCTGTGGAGGGAGCGAAAGACCAGGGTGATGGCAAGAGGACCCTCCAAACTGAAGGATTTGGAGCTCATTGCAAAAGATGAGTGGGCAAAAATACCTGTGGAGACGTGCAAAAAGCTGCTCTGCAAGAACAGGAAGCGTTTGATTGCTGTAAAAGCCAATAAAGCTTTTTCTATTGATCATTGAGAAGGGTGCGAACAATTCTGACACTTTTTGCTCTAATGTATCAAAACGCTGATCATTTTTCCCACAATAATGCTTCTTGTACATCATCTTCTTATCTTTCAGGAGACACTTGTGTCATTTTGTATCAGTTGGGACAAATTACATGAAAAAGGGAAAAAAACAACTTGCTGGTTGAATAAAAGTAACTTTAAGTCAAAATTTGCCGGGAGTATGACTGCAAATAAACCTGCCTGACTGCAGGACACGCACAGACACACACACAGACACACACACAGACACACACACAGACACACACACGCAGCACCCTGCTGTTCTTGCTCTCCTGATGCTGTGCGTGTGTGTGTGTGTGTTCTGGGTGTGTCGCTGTGTGATTTGTTTATCCCTGCCACAGACTGCAGGTGTATTTGCATTCAAACTCTGTGTGTGTTTGTGTGCGTGCGAGGGCGTCGTACTCTCGTCGGAGCCTCTGAAGGCCTCTCTGGGCTGCAGGCAGGCGTCGATGCGTCTGAAGTGTCTGAACAGAGGGCGCACCTGCTTCTTCCTGCTCTCCTTCTCCTCGTCAGAGCTGCTCGCAGAGCAAACACACGTCCAATAAATCCAAACAACAATTACACAGAAACTGAGAGTAATTCACAGAAAATATAACAAATCGATAAAATAACTTATTACAGTAAATATTTAGCAGAGTATAAAAATGATTAATAAAAAGTGTTTCATTGTTTAAGCTGTGAGAGAGCGATCAATAGAAACGTTAATGATGAATAATAATATAACTGTGTGCGTCACGATGGAGCGCCGCAGCAATAAAGAAACCTCGTGAACATCAACATCCAGAAATCAACACATGATAAGCGTGCTGTGTGCAGACTGTACACAGATTACTGCGCTCTGATTGGTCAGGTTTAGGTCACATGGGGCTAGAGACCAGCCTGTAACCCTGCATGAAACTGGCTGCAAACATGGTCACCTAAAAACCCCTGACGGACTCAGACGCCAAAGTTTGTATGGAAGCTTGCACCCGCTGACTACACTGTGTGTGTGTTACTGTGTGTGTGTTACTGTGTGTGTGTTACTGTGTGTGTGTTACTGTGTGTGTGTGTGTCTTACGGGCAGTGTAAGATCTCGGTCCATCGCTGCAGTTTCAGGACATCCTCCACCAGCTCAGGATACCGGGCCAACTCCTGTACGGCACACATGTACAGCTCCTGCACACACACACACACACACACACACACACACACACACACACACACACACATTTCAGATCCAGACAGTCCCAGCAGTGATTATGAAGAATAAGTATTCAAATAAAAAACGGATGTTTGTGCATCGACCGCCGTGATGCAGTCTTCACGCTGACAGTGGGAGGAGTCACAGGTGTGGAAACATGCAGGTGGAGATTTGGAGCTTTTTAACATTTTTATTGTTATTATTGTTTTTCCAGAAATTTGGATCCGACCTGCAGGAACCACTCAGGGCTGAGACGGATACTGCATGTGTGTGTGTGTGTGTGTGTGTGTGTGTGTGTCTGTGTGTGTGTGTGTGTCTACGTGTGTGTGTCTACGTGTGTGTGTGTGTCT